TCTTGAAAAACATTTAATTGCTTTACGATTACCATTCATGAAAGTTACAAATTTAACATCAGGTAAATTATCAAGTAGATTAGCACAAAAAGGTACTAAAGGATCACTTCATTGTGTACCATCAGATGTACAAGATACAGTAACCATCTTACCTCGTCCAGTTGATAAATCTATGATGGTTCGATTGCAATTGAAACGACGATTGAAGTATAAAGCTGTGTGGGAAGAACAATTAATAAATCCAAATGATGTAAGAGATGCACTTTTTGTTTTAACTAAAATACATCCAGGTTATAAAAATATAAAGATAAATGATATTAATGAAGATTATCTTACGTCTGATCAAGAAAAAAATTACGAAAATAACAATGAATCAGTAGTTGAACCAATGGATGTTGACACAATTTCAGAAGAAAATATCATTGAGGAAACACAAGTATCTAATGAAAATCGTCTAAAAACATTAGCATTAGGTGATATTGATAATACTATTAATAGTGATGAAGAAATTGATGAAGATGATAAAGATATTCGAACTAAATATAATATTGGCACAGATTCATGTACTCAACCATGTGATTTTAATGATTTTTTAGTCTTCGATAAAGAGCCATATGTAGTGGCACCAGCTGAAAAAAATAAATTGAGTTCATTACTGACAGATAAAACAATTGAAGCATTAGCCTTTCCTCATTTATTTCCAGATGGACAAGGCTCATATGATGAAGAACGTGAAATTGATCTAAAATGGAAAGAATATTGTAAAGCACGTTTATTTTCATCAGATTCTCGTTTTGCTGCTGATTCAAGTTATATCTTTTATCTACAGTATTTAGGTGACTTGAAACAAGTGTATTCCGGAATCAATATCGCTTTCCGAAAAAAGTTACCAATGAGTGCCAAAATAAAGTTTGGGTGAAATACAAATGAAATTTCTAATGAATAAAGATATGATATATCGTCATTTGCAATTAGTCCGAGGTAGTCCACAATATTGGCATCAACGACTAAAATATTTATTCGGAATGACACGCCAATTAGGCTTTCCAACTTTCTTTATTACATTGTCATGTGCCGATCTACGTTGGAAAGAATTTATTGATACTTTTGTACGTCATAGTGGATTTACCATTAAGGAAATATACACATTTGAAGAAAAAACAAAACTTTTACGAGCTAATCCTGTTCTAGCTGCTCGTCTGTTTGAAAGAAGATTTATGTCTTTTATGAATTTATTTATTAAAGGTGGAGCATGGTGTGTCGGAAATGTAAAAGACTGGTTTGCTCGTATA